TCTACGTCCTCTGTTACCAGGCAAACTTCAATGCAGGAGGCTGCTGAATGCACACAGGCAATATGTAGTAAATTATACGGTAAACATGTAGGCAACCTTTCAATAGCTGAACTTTGCTCCATTGATCGGCCAGACATTGCGCTGCCCGTAGCTTCAAACCATTAATTAACTTGACCGAGCTTCAACCCTTTAATTATGCAATATGTGTATAACATGATTACAGTTGCACCTGCAATGAAAGATTATGTGCTTATGCTAACACCTGAAATACGGACTTCAATATAACCTCACCAGTTTCCATAAATGTGTCAATGAAATGATAATAATGATACATCATAAGTGATGCAACGGTAATAATGATTATGAATAGTCACAGATTATGAATGTAAAATAATATTTCATCTCGACAAAATGCCTTTTGGTTAAACTTTCAGCAAGGAATTTGCATTTGCACTGTTACATTTTTATAAAGCTTTAATGTACATAAAAACCAGCTTCTTGTTTAAGTGAAAATAAATGGAAGGTTGTCTTTTTGCGCTAGTAATGTTGTGGAGTTGTATTTTGTCTCGCATCAATTATATCGTCAGTTATATCGTTATCGCAAATTTTCAAATATATATCGTGATAAATATTTTTGGCCATATCGCCCTGCTCTACTATTGATATTGTTAGACAGACCATCTAACATGATAGACCTTATCACATGACCTGGTGATGAAGCTCGACAGTGAACATGAAAAATATAACGCCAAAGTGCAACATTGTTTCTGCAAAAATGACAAGATGCTAACAGAATGTTAACAGAAAACTATTAATTTTATACATTTACAAATGAATATATCTCACTGCTCAGTGGTGCCTTTATTTTTAATGACAGTTGCACATTTGAACTCTTACACTTTAAACTATTTCAAAACTGGAAAACATTCATGCATTTTTTGCATCATCACCTGTGAATTCCACCTCATTGCCTGAGAGTGCCTCTATGACCCGCCTCAGCTGATGAAAACATCCTGCATTCATACACTTAATTTAACATGATCAATACCACACTGTGGCGCCGGTCAGGCTACAATCTGAGCTCACTGTCTCTCCAATTGATCACGATTTATTCAGGCTTTGATTCATGCTTTTGTAAAATAGTGTTGCGTGTGTTCTTGTATCATCACATTAGTTACCTTGTTCTGTTTTTTTTTTCTTTGTTCCTCAAGACCTCCCACAAAATCATGACTGTGAGGAAGAGGAGGGTCTGGATGAGCAGCAGGTCTGTAACCAGGAGAGGAACTCCAGTCTGGTCCAGGAGGACCCAGAGCCTCCACAGATTAAAGAGGAACAGGAGGAGCTCTGCAGCAGTCAGGAGGGAGAGCAGCTTGGACTGAAGCAGGAGTCTGAAGGCATTATCGTCTGGACTGGGGAAGAGCAGCTGAGAGAGATGGAGATCATCTGGAAACCTGTGATAAAATTACACAAAATAGGTATGTAAGACTCTGATGTCCTAATAAAAATGAAGATCACCCATGTAGGTGATGAGTAAAAATAACATTGTAAAAAAAAAGAAAGATAAATGGCCTGCATTTGTATAGCGCTTTACTCAGTCCCTAAGGACCCCAAAGCGCTTTACACTACATTCAGTCATCCACCCATTCACACACACATTCACACACTGGTGATGGCAAGCTACATTGTAGCCACAGCTGCCCTGGGGCGCACTGACAGAGGCGAGGCTTCCAGACACTGGCGCCACCGGGCCCTCTGACCACCACCAGTAACATTGTAATAACATTGTAAAAATAACAGTGTTACTAAAAATAACATTGAGCAGAGTGCGACCAACTGTTCGGGTAACAAAAAAAAAAAAACTCTGTAACTCTTAGGGATGGGTATCGTTTAGGTTTTATCCGATACCGGTGCCAAATCGGTACTTTTGAAACAGTGCCGGTGCTCAAACCGGTGCTTAAAGAATGGAGAACACAAAATTGGTCCAAAAACCTCTCATGTTCAGCTGTTTTTTGTAAAAAGATAACAATGTTAGCCTTTTCTGCAGCTATGGGGCATATATGGTATCACTCTTGGCTGGAAGCAGTGCTTAAACAATGGAAAAAACACAAACTTTGTCCAAAAACCTCTCATGTTTAGCTGTTTCCCTCTTTTTCTTTGGTCATTTTAGCCTTTTTGGCCAGGGTGAAGGGAGTATCTGCCATCAAACAAGAAAACAGCCGCATGTAGCTATGATGATGTTTGCTAGTTCACCTTACATGCATTAATGTAATAACGTGGTTAGCCTACTCAACGTAAATTACACACGAACAACATTAAGCTACTCATGCAGAGAAGAACGGCTGCTGCTGCCATCATCATCCTCATCATTTCTGCTACACTGGCAGGGCTAGGGGCCAGGACTCTCCTCTTTGGGTTTTTGGGTATGTTGCTAACTCCGGGTCTGATAACAGGCACCACACCCGCAGTAGATGCGCTCGGTGTGAGGTCTCGCAGCAAGCTATCAAATACGGCGCATTTCTCAGCTTTTAAAAAAAACGCTATGCGTCGCCAGGTGTTTCATCGGATTTGAGGTGTTACCTCCTTTGACAGTATCACAGTATCAGCTTAAAGCACTTGTTGCAGGCTGCTGAGTTTGCATCTTTTGCTGTGAAGTACAGCCAGACTTTTGACCGCTTCGTCTTGGGCGTTTTTAATCTGTAGCTCTGCTCTAAAAGAACGTACATACCTGGACCCGCCTACTATCCTCGGAAACGTAAAATGATTGGCTAGAAGTGTATCACAGCTCAGGAAAAAAAAGCACCGAAATAAAGCACCGAAATGTGCGCTGCTTTTCGGTCTGGTTACTACCGTTTATGTCAGAACCGGTGCCATCATGGCACCGGACACCGGTACCCATCCCTAGTAACTCTCCGTGTGGTCAACAACAGACACACATTATGCCCGTGTCATGGACTAAACCAATCAGAGATAGTCAGGGGCGGGACCTCTCTGATTGGCTGTGGTCCAATTGAAAGTGCAGTTGGAAGTGGGAGGTCTGTAGCTTGAATAAAGCGATATCGATTCATTAAATCCTGAATTGACTTTTAAATTTAACTGTGTTTTACCAGAAACGCCAGATTCTCAGATTAAAGCTCACAAAACCATTTCAACAACAACCAAACAGCAAATGAGAGCAGGTACACGCACTCCACACACAGACGTAAACACAGAACAGACCGACGCATCAGAATCAACTTTGTCTTTCTCGGCTTTCTCACCCGACGGCCCGTAGACGGACACGCTATCGGAGCTCTGTGTTCACGTCTTTTTGCGCTGATTCTGAGCTGCAGGTTTTGTCTCTCTCCAACCAAAATTCACAGAGCCAGCAGCAAAAGAAGAAGCAAACTACGCTTCACATTTGGTCAATGTCGTCATGAATTCCCTTTGAGTTTTGCTGTTTTGCTTCCACCACGATAAAAATCACACTTCCTGCACAGCTAGCTCTCTCTCTCTCTCTGTACTTCAAGAACAGTTTCCCGTCTCAAATCTGTTTTCTGCACTATTCATTCGCTTATTACCCACCAGTCTACCGTTGATTACAGCGCTGTCGGCCGCTGTCTTTTTCTTTTCTTTTTTTTCTTTTTTTTACTTAAATGACCTCGGACAAGAAAGCCTAATTTCTGCTGTTTAATACTGAAGAAAAACTTTTTAAAATTATACAAAATTACAGAATATTTTTAAGGTTATCTGCTATAAAAGGCCAGGCCAGAAAAATCTCATTCATGTTTTTCTGTGTTTTATTCTCAGTTACTTTGACACAAAGGCATCTGCTGTGATGTTCACAATTCTGATGAAGTCTCACATACATCAGTACTGATAAATGATCAGAATTATAATATTTCTGACTGTCTGAGGCTAAATTGAATCGAATCAGGACTTTGAGAACCTGAGTCGAATGGATTATAGAAATCAGTGATGATACCCAGCCCTAGTGAGCAGCCTTGGCCTAACAGAAGTGGATGTAGCTGTGGGTAATAAGAAAAGATGAAAAGAACTATTGATAACTTTTTTGTTAAGTTAAGGCCTAATCCATCTGAAGTTCATAGCCAGCTCTGACATGGTGCCATCTATCTTTGAATGCTGAAAAAACACAGTGTATCCAGAAAGCACATTATATGCTGCAAAAAATACACTGCCCAAGTGTCCACTCTCCCCACTGCCTTTCAGCAACAGACAGCAACAAACAGGTCGTCAGAGGAGGCCAAGATGATGATTAAGTTTAACATTTTCTACAATATTGACAAAGCACTGTAAGCATAAGATTGTTAGTTAATAATTTAGAAATGAATATTGTCTGTATGGACTGCAACTTCCCCCCCAAAAAAGTGCACATGTAAAACTGCGGTGTTAAGTGATGCGGTTGAAACATTTTAGTCTGCCTAACTTTTGTGCCGGTGCAACGATGGCAAAAAGTTAGTCTAGAGCCCTGTCAGTAAATGTATTTTTATCATTTTGTTCCTTTGTGCTTTCAGACCTCCAACAGCAGGATCTCTCTGAAAAGGACGGTGTTCTCACAGACCAGCAGGTCTGTAACCAGGAGAGGAACTCCAGTCTGGACCAGGAGGACCCAGAGCCTCCACACATTAAAGAGGAACAGGAGGAACTGTGCAGCAGTCAGGAGGGAGAGCAGCTTGGACTGAAGCAGGAGGCTGATACTTTCATGGTGACTCGATCTTATGAGGAAAGTGACCACAGTGAGCAGCTTCTTTCTCACAGCTCTCCTGAAGGAGAGAGCCGAGATCATGAAGAAAATGGGCACGTGGAGTCAGGATCTACTAGAAATACAGAGCTGAAGAAGAGACGTCACAGAAAGAGAAGTCATAGACAGAGACTAGACAACACTGCTGTGTCAGAGAGTCAAAGTAAACCTGTCTCAAGGAAAAAGTCTCTAGAATGTGACATCTGTGGAAAAACCTTTTGGCATAAATTTGTGCTGACTATACATCTGAGAGTTCACACAGGCGAGAAACCGTACACTTGTAACACCTGTGGAAAAAGATTTTCTCACTCATCAGCATTAAAAAGACACAAGAGAATTCACACTGGTGAGAAGCCATATTCCTGTAGCACCTGTGGAAAAAAATTTATTCAGAAATCAACTTTGGACTGTCATGAAAGAAGTCACACAGGTGAGAAACCATATCCTTGTAGCACGTGTGGAAAAAGATTTTCTGATTTATCAGCAATTAAAAAACACAGGAGAATGCACACAGGTGAGAAACCATATTCATGTGGGATCTGTGGAAAAAGATGTAGTCAGAAAGCAGCATTGGAATCTCATGTAAGAACTCACACAGGCGAGAAGCCGTATTCTTGTAGCACCTGTGGGAAAAGATTCACTCGAAAATCACTTTTGAACTGTCATACAAGAACTCACAAAGATGAGAAGCTGCATTCTCGTAGCACCTGTGAGTCATAGCAGTGTGTTGGTGGTAGTGCTTACACTGTCAAGTCACTGCAACAACTGATTGGAGAGATGATTCATATTCAAGACAGTATTTTCTGCTATTTTAGGTCCTTTACAATTTAAAGCGTCTTGAGAGAACTGTCATTGTGATTTTGTGCTTTATAAGTAAAACTGAATAAAATTGGATTGTCTAGAGGAGTGAAGAACTCTCATCATTCTTTGTTCAGTTTATTACCTTATTCTTATAATTGCATATCCTATTAGAGTGATTAGAACATGCTGTAGGTATTACAGGTACTGCGCTGCAGTGGTTTGTAACATATCTATCTAATAGACTCCAATTTCTTCACGTAAATGGAGAGTCCTCTTCACATGCTGAGCTTAATTATGGGGTTCCACAGGGTTCAGTGCTAGGACCAATTCTGTTTACATTAAACATGCTTCCCTTATACATTTTTACTGCTATGCTGATGACACCCAGCTCTATCTATCCATGAAGCCAGATAACACACACCAATTAGTTAGTTAAACTGCAGGAATGTCTTAAAGACATAAATACCTGGACCTCTAATTTTCAGAGTGATGCTAAAAAACTAGTTCATGCATTTATTACTTCTAGGCTGGACTACGTTAATTCATTATTATTAGGAAGTTCTAAAACCTCCCTGAAAAGCCTTCATTAATCCAAAATGCTGCAGCAAGACAGAGCCTTCAGTTTTCAGGCCCCTCTTCTGTGGAACTGGCTTCCAGTTTGGATTCAGGAGACAGACACTATTTCTACTTTTAGGCTTAAAACCTTCCTTTTGTTCTAAAGCATATAGTTAGGGCTGGACCAGGTGACCCTGAATCCTCCCTCAGTTATGCTGAAATAGGTGTAGGCTGCTGGGGGATTCTCATGATGCACTGAGTGTTTCTTCTTCAATCACCTTTCTCAGTCACTATGTGTTAATAGACCTCTCTGCACTAAATCATACCCGTTATTAATCTCTGTCTCTCTTCCACAGCATGTCTTCTATCCTGTTTTCTTTCTCTTCCTGTTAAAAGGGAGTTTTTCCTTCCCACTGTCACCAAAGTGCTTGCTCATAGGGGGTCATTGATCTGCATGTATTATTGTAGGAATACATGCAGTATAAAGCGCCTTGAGGCAACTGTTGTGATTTGGCACTGTTTAAATAAAATTGAATTTAATTAAATGTATTTGAGGATTTCTTACCTAATATATGAAAACAGCATAACATAGTCTTGTTGAGTTTTTCACAGATTTCTGTCTTTATTCCTGATGATGGATCCAGTGGTGGTAGGGGGTCCTTGTAAACTTGCAATGAAAAGTTTTGTTTTAATGTTCTTTTTCTAAGTAAATTGTGTTTTAATTAAATTACCTGAATAAATCTGCTTCATGACTGAACTAACAAAAACAATTAAGTTCTCTAATACAACTTTTACATTCACCCTCCATTTGGGCCAATTTAATCTTTGTAGGTTTAAATTTTTTTTGTAGAAACAGCAAAAGTTTCTACAGAACAAACGTCTTGTTCTTGCCAGACAAGAAAGTTGAAGCAGGTAGGGCCCTAACCCTATGTGGAAATAGCTCGGAGAGAGTTAAGATTTTCCTCTTTGAAAAAACACTTTTACTCTGGATTAATGTGGCACATCTGGAATATACAGGGTGGGCCATTTATATGGATACACCGTAATAACATGGGGATGGTGATATTAAAGTCCTGTTTGTGGCACATTAGTATATGTGAGGGGGCAAACTCCTCAAGATGGGTGGTGACCATGGTGGCCATTTAGAAGTCGGCCATCTTGGATACAACTTTTGTTTTTTTCAATAGGAAGAGAGCCATGTGACACATCAAACTTATTGGTAATGTCACAAGAAAAACAATGGTGTGCTTGGTTTCAATGTAACTTTATTCTTTCATGAGTTATTTACAAGTTTCTCTTTGTTCACAGCCATTGACATGTCGAAGAGGTTAACACGTGAGGAGCGGATCGAAATTGTGTTGATATCTGGTGAATGCAGTAACCGGGTCATTGCAGCAGATTTCAATGCAAGACACCCTACGAGACCACCCATCTCCCATGCTACAGTTAGCAAACTGTTTGCTAAGTTTCGTGAAACTGGTTCAGTGTTGGATTTGCCAAAATGTGGATGCAAGAAAACTGTCACTAATGAAGAAACATCAGTGGCTGTCCTAGCTTCATTCAGCAAGAGCCCACAGCGTAGCACTCGCCGCATGTCACTGGAGAGTGGCATTAGTCGAACATCCCTTCGGCAGATATTAGCTACTCACAAATGGCACCCTTACAAACTCCAGCTACTGCAGCATCTCAACGAGGACGACCCAGATCGGCACACAGAATTTGCAGAATGGGCAAAACAAAAATTGGAACAGGACCCTCAGTTCACGCAGAAGATTTTGTTCATTGATGAGGCAAACTTTTATGTGAACGGTGAAGTTAACAAACAAAACCATCGCTATTGGTCTGACACCAACCCACATTGGATGGATCCCTCCAAGACTGTTGGAACAACAAAAGTGATGGTTTGGTGTGGTATGGGGTACAACGATAGTGGGTCCATTCTTCATCAATGGAAACCTCAAGGCCACTGGATATTTGAAATTGCTACATGATGATGTGTTTCCCTCTTTATGCACTGAAGCTGGCACGTTTCCTGAGTTTTTCCAGCAAGATGGAGCACCACCTCATTATGGGTGCCAGGTCCGAGCATTCCTAGATGAACAGCTTCCTGGAAAGTGGATTGGTCATCGTTGGCCAGCTGAATGGCCCCCAAGGTCTCCCAATCTGACCCCCTTAGACTTTTATCTTATAGCTGTCATCTCTGCACAGTGGATGAACATAAAGGCCATGAAACAGTCCCAGCTGCAGCAGAACGGACTGAGAAGCAGAAGGAGCTCGAGGTGAGACGACTAAACATCCAGCAGGGAATCCAGGAGCGAGAGAAAGATGTGAAGCTGCTTCAACAGGAGGTGGAGGCCATCAATGGCTCTGCTGATAAAGCAGTGGAGGACAGTGAGAAGATGTTCACTGAGCTGATCCGTCTCATCCAGAAAAGAAGCTCTGATGTGAAGCAGCAGGTCAGATCCCAGCAGGAAACTGAAGTGAGTCGAGTCAAAGAGCTTCAGGAGAAGCTGGAGCAGGAGATCGCTGAGCTGAAGAGGAAAGACGGCGAGCTGGAGCAGCTCTCACACACAGAGGATCACAACCAGTTTCTACACAACTACCCCTCACTGTCAGCACTCAGTGAGTCTACACACTCATCCAGCATCAATATTTGTCCTCTGAGCTACTTTGAGGATGTGACAGCAGCTGTGTCAGAGACCAGAGATAAACTACAGGACATTCTGAGAAAGGAATGGACAAACATCTCACTGACAGTCACTGAAGAGGATGTTTTACTGTCACCAGCAGAGCCAAAGACCAGAGCTGGATTCTTAAAATATTCACATGAAATCACACTGGATCCAAACACAGCAAATATGCATCTGTTATTATCTGAGGGGAACAGAAAAGCAACACAGTTGAAAGAACAACAATGTTATTCTGATCATTCAGACAGATTCACCTTTTATGATCAGGTAGAGTGGAGAGGAGCGGTAGAGGAATAGAAGTAGCAGTCTCATACAAGAATATCAAAAGAGCAGTATAAATGAATGTGTATTTGGATACAATGACAAATCTTGGGCATTACTTTGTGAAAACAAAAGTTATTCATTCTATCCCAACAAAGTCCACACTGTCCTCTCAGGTCCTCGGTCCTCCAGAGTAGGAGTGTACCTGGACCACAGAGCAGGTATTCTGTCTTTCTACAGCGTCTCTGAAACCATGACTCTCCTCTACAGAGTCCAGACCACATTCACTCAGCCGCTCTATGCTGGACTTTGTCTTTATTTCTCTGCTGGAGCTACTGCAGAGTTGATTAAAGTCAAATAGACAGAGAAGATTTGTTGTTGGTTTTCTTGATCACATATGACCCTAAACGGTACATCTTAGAGGTCTGAACTTTTGAAAAGTATCAATAATTTGAGTCATCATTTTTTATAATACAATTGATATCAAAAACAGGCAGAAATACTGAGGAAGTGTGGTGAATAGGGAAAAGATAAAAACATGTTAAAACAATATTGTGATTATTGCACTTGGTAAAAAAGAAAAAATTCAAAATGTACTAATTCATCGTGAAAAGATAAAAAGTTCTATATTCAAATAATCTCTACTATAAAAAATCTAAAATACAATTCAAAAAGTAAATAAGGTTTTAATAAGCTAATAAAAAGTTTTCAAGTTTGGAACACTTTCAAACAAATCCACACACATTTCACAGATCTGAAGGGGAAATAATCAAGACACGTATTTTTAAATGTACCTGAACATGGTCATTTTTCAGTCTGAGATAAATCATTTTTGTATGTGTATCAAAAACCTCAAAAAGAGATAATCAACATTTCTGCATTCATCATGTTTTCCCACTGTCACAGAAGAGGACATCTGATGGGGTTGAGGTAGAAACATCTGGTGACACAAATCTGAAGGCTAGATCAACCCATTTAACCACTTTTTGCCTCTGACGTTTATGATCTTCAAAGTAAACGCAATGTCTTTGAGGTCTAATCTTTAAAAATGTCACAAGAATTTGAATCCTTGAGCTGTTACAAATTTTTAAATGTCTACTGCAAATGAGTCATGCCGGATGTGCTGCAATGAAGCTTAATAATAATATTCTTTTTGAAAACTGCAATCATGAATATATATATATATATATATATATATATATATATATATATATATATATATATATATATATAATATATTTGTTTGTTCTTTCAGTAACAATAACAAACAATAAGACCAAACCCAGAGTACCCTACTGCCGATGTCACTGTAGAGGTAGATACTGTAGAATAGCTCAACCCCAAAAAAATGTTTTGAAAATTTTTTTTTGCATATGACAAATGTATTCATTTTTACTGAACTTTCGATTATTCACTTTACCTAAGCATAAGCAGGTTACTAAGGTCTAAGCTTAACCTACCTAAAAGTAGGTGACATTCAAATCCACAAAGTGTGTATGTGTGTGTGGCTGTCATTTAGGTTAACACTGGAAAATAGTATTACTGAAACACACAGTTCATTACATTCACAGTTTCGTGTTTTTAACATCATCACATTTTATCGTGCTATGTTGAATGGAAACAGTGTTTCACAAAGCCCTTCGCTACATTTGTATTAACTAGATAACTGAGTGACATGGAATCCCTTACTTAATAATTCACTTCCGAAATAGACATTTGAAGGATGCAGACACAACTCACAAGCCGCCGTTGTTGATAAATAAATAATAATAATGGACATGGTGCATAGGTTTAAAGTCGGAAATCCCGAGTTCTCTGTCGGAAATGTGTTGTGGAGGGCCCCTTACATCGGATTTCACACTTGGAAAGTCAGAGTAGACCAACATAAACGATTTAACAATCCAAGAAGGCGGGACTGAATGTGAACAAAATTAGAACTGTAAACTTTCAATCTGCTCTGCAACTCGTTCAATTAGTCATACGCAGAGAAGTGAACAGGCTCTATCACTGAATGTGTTTTTAAGCACAACAAATAAGTATCAGGTCTTACTGCTATCGACACTGGAATGGCTCTACCTTGCTAAACTGATTCTGTTTTATCTGAATACTCTCACTCAGGAGTGACGTAACTCCCGAGATCCGAGGCATCTGGAACGCGGCATTACCATTCAACAAATCGGCGTGGCTCCCTGAGTCACGTGACGCACGAGCGCAAACTCACGGCGGACCTGGGTGGAGCGAGAAGTACGTCCGCAACATGGCCGCTGTTTGATAAAGCTGATTGAACTTAGAGGAAAAACACAAACTAAAGTACTGATCTTATGACGTTAATATCCATCTGATACCGGTGTCGATGCTTGTATCGATCCGCTCAGCCTCAGCGGAAGCAGCGATGAGTTCAGCTCAGTATCTGAGAGAGTTCATCAAGGAGAGACTAACTGCTGTTTGTGAAGAAATCTTCTCAGAGGTTCAAAAAACCATCGTCCAGTATGAGGAGGAGATCAACCGTCAGCACAGACTGCTGGATATCAGCCGGAAACCCGACAGAAACTCACACATCACAGGTATGGACATGTTTTTAACTCTGTGCTGTTCAAGCTCAGATTCTTCAGTGTTTAGTTGATTGGTGATAAATCTGAAAGTATCAGCATCTCCAGGATTTCTCTAAGCTGATGTTAGCTGAGAGCAGGCAGCTGTTACTTTGGTGATGAATTCAGAGGAGCAAACGGTGATAGTTGAGGAAGAGCACACATACTCTTAATGAGACAGTGTGAAAACTGTCTTCTGACTAACATTGATGAAGATGAGCGTCCACACCAACTGTTTATTCCATTTATTTTTTATAACAGCCTCAAAGTGAACACACACAGTGACAGACTCTCCAAAGTATCAGAACAAAATCTGTCCATGTTACAAATACGTCTATAAATAATGTCTTTACATCTGCAGCAAAAGCAAGAAAACAATCACTGAAGCAAAGTATGATGTCTAAATGTGTCTCCTAAGTGAAAACAAGTGCTCAGGGTCCGATTGAAGATACAGTGGCTTTACTAGAAGATGTTAAACTGGGTATTTATTAGTGCTGTGGTTCAGTGTCCAGTGATGGACTATGTTGGACTGGTGCATGTTCATGGTCACCGTTGTGAATTAAAACCTCTTCTTGTTGAATCAAACTTGATATCATATTGACTAGAAACCACAAGACTATATATTTTTTCAATATTTACACATTTTATTTAATCTGATTGACACAACTGTGACACCAGTGATGGTGTGATCTGAGCTCACAGGGCTCTAGAGTGCGAGCAATGTGGTCGCAAATGCGACCAAAATTTTCAGTGGTGCGATCACTTAAAGCCTAATTTTTGCTGTTCAATACAGAAGAAATTTAAACTTCTTAAAATTATGCAAAATTATAGAATATTTTTAAGGTTATCTGCTATAAAAAGCCAGGCCAGAAAAATCTCCTTCATGTTTTTCTGTGTTTTATTCTCAGTTACTTTGACACAAAAGCATCTGCTGTGATGTTCACAATTCTGATGAAGTCACATGTATCCGTACTGATAAATGATAAGAATTATAATATTTCTGACTGTCTGAGGCTAAATTGAATCAAATCAGGACTTTGAGAACCTGAATCGAATGGATTATAGAAATCAGTGATGATGATACGCAGCCCTAGTGAGGCCCGAAAGAAGTGGATGTAGCTGTGGGTAATAAGAAAAGATGAAAAGAACTATTGATAACTTTTTTGTTAAGTTAAGGCCTGATCCATCTGAAGTTCATAGCCAGCTCTGACATGGTGCCATCTGTCTTTGAACGCTGAAAAAGCACAGTGTATCCAGAAAGCACATTATATGCTGCAAAAAATGCACTGCCCAAGTGTCCACTCTCCCCACTGCCTTTCAGCAGCAGACAGCAACAAACAGGTCGTCAGAGGAGGCCAAGATGATGATTAAGTTTAACATTTTCTACAATATTGCCAAAGCACTTTAAGTACAAGATTGTTAGTTAATAATTTAGAAATGAATATTGTCTGTATGGACTGCAACTCCCCCCCAAAAAAGTGCACATGTAAAACTGCGGTGTTAAGTGGTTGAAAAATTTGAGTGCGCCTAACTTTTGTGCCAGTGCGCCTAAGTTTTTAAAGATGCACTGCTGCGCCGATGGCAAAAAGTTAGTCTAGAGCCCTGGCTCACTGTCTCTGTAAAAATGTGTGTTTAAATTATCACTATTTATTCAGGCTTTGACACACATTTGTAAAATATTTGTGAAAACTCATCACAGTTGTGACCTTGACTCTGTACTTCTTTGTTGCTTAAGACTTCCCACGACAACGTGACTGCAATGAAGAGGAGGGGAGGAACTCCAGTCTGGACCAGGAGGACCCAGAGCCTCCACAGATTAAAGAGGAACAGGAGGAGCTCTGCAGCAGTCAGGAGGGAGAGCAGCTTGGACTGAAGCAAGATGAAGGCATTATCGTCTGGTCCAGTGAAGAGCAGATTAGACTGCTGGGGACCATCTGCAAACCTGAGATAAAGTTACACAGAATAGGTATGTAAAACTGATTGTCGTAATAACAATGAATATGAGTCATGTAGGATCCTAATTGGAGTTTAAAGTTACATTTATTTTTAGAGGCACAGGAAGAATTGAAGGTCCAACTGTAATAAGCAGCATGAATGCATCTCTTTCTGTTAAGGGAAATTTATTTGTTTAGCACATTTTAAACAGATGCCCCTAGTGTCTCTGCTGGAATTACCAACTGTGAACTCTATGGCTACGTTCACACTGCAGGCGAAAGCACATCAAATCCGACTTTTCTGACCCTCTGCGACCCATATCCAATCATATTTTCAAATCCGATCTGGGTAGGGTTGCAAAGGGGCGGAAAATTTCCGGTAAATTTCCGAAAAGTTTCCGGTAAATTTCCATGGTAAGTTAAGCTTGGGAATTTTGGAAATATTCCATATTGGAAACTGTCCATGGAAATAATGGGAATTATGGAAATTAATGGGAATTTAGGAGAACTAACTGGGAATATATTATTTCCAAGCATAAATATAAACAGAAATCATAAGAAAACCTCCATGCAAAATGTTTTCAACAGATATTTAAACAGATTTATTTGTAAGTACAGTAGAATAGAACACGTTTCAATAACTTGTTTCATGGATGAATAAAAACAGAAATGTTGAGTTCAATATTACCATCCCCTAACCCCGCTCATTCAAAAATGCCCCCTGTCCAAAAATCTCCACAAAGTCCCATTCAAAAGGTTAAATGAAAAATGCCACTTATCCTCCAAAACGTCCCATTAAACATGCAAATCTTCCTTCAAGCAATCCTCTTTTCTCATTTTTGCTCAGTCAATAGACTCTTCCTGGACCTCATCATCATCCAACAACATGTCCACTTCCTCAGCATCCAACTCTGAGTCTTCCTCTTCAGTGTCACTTTCCAGCCTTGTTGAGGATGGCTCTGTGTCAGGCTCAAAGAGCCGTAGGTTTGCCCGAATGCCGACCAGCTTTTCCACTCTCACATTTGTGAGCCTGTTGCGAACCTTTGTGTGGGTGTTCCCAAACAGTGACCAGTTGTGCTCGGAGGCAGCTGATGATGGTGGGATTTGGAGGAGAATGGAGGCTACAGGTGCAAGGGCCTCAGATTCACATAGTCCCTTCCACCAGGTGGCTGCAGATATGTGCTGGCATGACTGCCATATTCCATCCCCTTTCCAAAGGCCTTGCTTTGTTCGATACTTTGCCAAACTGCCTAGAACTTTGCCTTTATCGAGACCCAGGTGGTCAGACATGGCTGTAATGACCGCATAGGCACCGTTGATCTCTTCCCCGGAAAGTATGCCCTTGTCATATTTGGGGTCCAGCATGTATGCTGCTGCATGCACTGGCTTCATGCAGAACTCCCTCCGCTGTTCCAATGACTTGACCACAGCCGTTTCCTCTGCTTTCAGTAGTAGGGAAGTGGGCAGAATTGTCTGGATTTCTTCTTTGAGTTCTGCAAAAAGGCACTGGACATCTGACAAGATGGCACCATCCCCCTCTATCTTCGCTATTGCTGCTGCAATAGGTTTGAGGATTTTCTGACTGCTAGATACTCTAGATACCCAGAACACATCATCCAAGATGACCTTCTTGATGTCACTGTCGATGCCTACAGACTGGGATATGGCCATCTCTTGCAGAGACTCCTTTCCCTTCAGAAGGCTGTCAAACATGATAACAACACCACCCCATCGCGTTATGCTGGGAAGCTTCAGTGTAGTACTCTTGTTCTTTAACTTTTGCTTTGACAGAAATGTAGCGGAAGTTACTTGTTTGCCTTTAACATATTTCAGAACTTGCTTCGCTCTCTTATTCAGAGTGTCCATTGTTTTTAGTGCCATTATGTCTTTTAGGAGAAGGTTTAGTGTATGAGCTGCACAGCCAATAGTAGTTATATGAGGGTAGGTCTCCTCCACATGTGCCCAGGCAACCTTCATGTTGGCTGCATTGTCAGTGACCAGTGCAAAAACCTTATCTGGTCCAAGGTCATTGATGATCACTTTTAGCTCATCTGCAATGTATTGGCCTGTGTGTCTGTTTTCCTTTGTGTCTACACTCTAGTAGAACACAGGCTGAGGAGTGGTGATTATGTAGTTAATAATTCCTTGTCCCCTGATATTGGACCATCCATCAGAGATGACTGAAATACAGTCAGCTTGGTCAATGGTCTGTTTCACCTTTGCTTGAACTCGACTGAACTCTTCATCCAGTAGATGAGTAGACAATGCATGTCTGGTTGGGGGAATGTATGCTGGTCGGAGAACATTCAAAAATCTCTTCCAGTACACATTGGATGTCAGCATCAGGGGTGAGCCAGCTGCATAGATTGCACGAGCGAAACACTCATCTGCGTTTTTCTGGCTAGTGTCATCCATAAAATCAAAGAATCCTCTGATGCCAGAGGGACCAGGAGCTGATGAGTGGGTATCTGACTCTGATACAGCTGAAACAGATTCATTTTCCCCTTGAGTGGAACTCCTGGCTGCTGCATGTGTTGGGCCTTGAGGAATTTTTTTGCACTTTGCAATGTGCTGCTGCATTTTTGTGGCATTCTTCACGTACGTCTTATCACAATACTTACACATATATACAGATTTCCCTTGTACATTAGCTGGTGTAAAATGTCTCCACACATCAGATAGCGCACGTGGCATTTTTCTGTAAAATAAAACAAGAGCTTGTAAAAATGCTAATGCAATGCAAGAGATCGTAATAATACAATTGCAATATGATAATAAACAGATATAAATAGTAAGGCTAGCTAAACAACTGGAATGATCTTCAAAACAAAACAACCAAATGAGGAAGCTAGCATCTTCTTTATGTTATACTAGCTATGGCTTATTTAGCATCTAACAGATGCTAGCATTTTATTTAGCATCTAACAGATGCTGGCATTTTATTTAGCATCTAACAGATGCTGGCATTTTATTTAGCATCTAACAGATGCTGGCATTTTATTTAGCATCTAACAGATGCTAGCATTTTATTTAGCATCTAACAGATGCTGGCATTTTATTTAGCATCTAACAGATGCTAGCATTTTATTTAGCATCTAACAGATGCTAGCATTTTATTTAGCATCTTATTAGATGCTAGCATTTTATTTAGCATCTTATCAGATGCTAGCATTTTATTTAGCATCTTATCAGATTGCTATCTACCAGATTAATACATTTTATGTGATATTCACAATTTAAACATTTAATGAATATATTTTCCCATAATATCATCAAAACTTACCTCACTTGTTAAGTCCACAGGCTCAAATGTGTGCCTTTAATACTCTTTGTCCTTCAGGCTCAAAAGTGTGGTCCATGTGTACATGTGATGGAGGCATGCACAGTGCCAGTAGGTGGTCTCAATAGCCATGCAGCAAGCTTGTGCTCTGTACATGTGATTAAGGAATGGCATGGATATTCAAGTGTATTTGAATTGCATTTGTTTGTTTTTGTCAATATTATGCTAAAATATACTTTCCTCAACTATATTTAAGTTCCCTAAGAAGAGCCAACCTTCAATTTTGAAAATTCCCACTTTATTCCCATAAATTCCCGTTAATTCCCATGGAAAGATTCCATCTTTGAAAATTCCGGGAATTTTGCAACCCTAGATCTGGGTCACTTTCATATGTGGCTGTGAATCCGATACGTATCTGATGTTTTAGAAAGCGACTGCTGTTTGAACGGTCATGTCGCATGAAATCCGTCTTGTACGTCACTGACACGAGACAGACGCCAATTATCAGCACCGGAGAAGACATTGTGAACGCTTCCTGCCCATCCAGAGAAACTGTTGGGAAGACAATGTTGGAGAAACGTGAACATTTTATTTGTACTGTATAATCTGCAGATTCTGACAGAAATCTGCAACTATCCTTTGAAGCACCGCTCCTCTAAAACAGCAATAAGGATCATTATTAGGCGATATGTAAATAACACAATAACTTTATAATTTAAAGCAAAATTGGGAAACGTAAAGTCCGAAACAGCCAAACAATACTTTTGCTCTGGGTCTAAACAGAGCGTGTTGTGTGTGACGTCTTCTTTTGCGCATGCTGGCCGCTTTGAGGGTTCACACTAGAGCGTGTTTGATGTCACTTTTTTTTTTTTTAGCGTGAACAAGCAGACAAAAAAATCGGATTTGATCAAAAAATCGGAATTGAGCATTAAGACCTGCAGTGTGAACGTAGCCTTAGATCCAGTCTTTTGAACTGGGAAGGACCACTTATCTCTTCTGCATGAAGATTTTATACCTGGGCATCCTTTCTTCCTCAAGGTCCAACTTTAATAAGCGGCATGAATGTATCTCTTTCTGTTATGGGAAATGTATTTGTATATTACCTCTCAAATACAAATAAGTTATTCAAGTTGGTTTACAAGATTAAATTAAAACCAAAAACAACAGAAAAAAGACAGAAATTATATCCATGATACAGCCTTGTGATACAGTCAGTGAAACTAAATTCCTCATCTATGATTTCACCAAAATTTTCCAACCAGGTTGAGGTCTTCAGTGCCCTATAGATTCAAGATGTGAATTAAGTTGTAATCATGGATCTTTGTTTCCAAACAGGAGAATCTCAGTTTTGTCTCTATTTAGTTGAAATCAATTTTTATTTCATCCACTTTGTTTTTTTTAAGGCAAAAAACATAATGAGCTAACATTGTTTGGCAAGAGAGGGTTGTTACTTTTCTAAATCTATGTATACTAGAGGTGGGAATCACCACACATCCCACGATACGATATTATCACAATACTTAACGCACGGTACGATATTATTGCAATTTTTTAAAATATTTTGCGATATTCAGATTCTGTACATAAAGGTAAACTTTATCAATATTCATTTTATCTAATATCAAAGTCTCACACTCAGTCTTTCTCTCATTTCAGTCAGTTTTATTGTTGACAAACTGAATGGTTTGTATTACAGTCTAGTCCAACTTAACTGAATGCAACCATCTGGTTCAATTATAGCTATTCTGAACTATGCAATTTATGAAAACTATGCAGCCCATTCAGCAACTGAAGAATTTGAAAGTAAATTAAAACAAAATATAATTTTACATTAAATAAAAAGTTTTAAACTTAATTAAAATAAAACATGTCTTAAATTAAAATAAGTAAACTGTCATGTTTATTGCTGCCAAAAAAAAAGTTAAACACATTTGGACAGTAAGGAATGTCAGGATTCTTGCTCAGAAAAAGGATCAACATGCTCTGAAGTCAGAGCACAAAAACCTTTTTTGTAACAACATATCGATTTCTGCTGTCCCTGTATCGATACATTATTAGCAAACAAAATATCACGATACTACACAGTATCGATTTTTTCCCCCACCCCTAATGTATACTGTATTAATCCTGTAGGAAATTGCTTAGTCCTCGGCATTTAACCCGTTCACTCAGCGAATCAAGGATTTGTAGAGACGGTACCTTACTCAAGGGTAGCTAAGGGGTAGCTGAGTAGCTATCCCTGCCCCAACTGGGGTAACGTTGCCTTTACTCCTTGTTTTCAGGCATCTTCAGAAACAAAGTTGAGATGTACATCGTTCCTAAAAATCAATGAAAAAACAAAGAGATGTGATGTTTTTGGAACATGCAGAAAACCTTGAACATGCGCTAACTGCAGTCACTCTCACACAGGTTGTAGGACCCTTGCAAGTAAAAGCTGTGTTCTTGCTTAGAGACACTCTCCAGACAGATTGCCAACATGTTGCAGTCAGTCTGAATGAGTCGTCGTCAATAAGCACCACTTGAGGGGACTCGGCTCAAAGTCCTGAGGGGGTTGCTTCAGGAATATGGATGAATGGCCCGTGTTAGAAGCTGTACGGGACCTGCACACCTGTTAGCTGGTAATAAACAGGGGTGCAGATAACTTTTCAAGTGATCTACTCAGGTAAGGACCAAGAGATGGACCAAGTCATACACAGAAGAGGCTCCCATGCGTTTCCCTGCCTGCCTTAATCACATCCATTCTGTTACAGTAGTGTCTTTGTCAAGCTGCAAGGTGACCTCGTATTTCTTGAGAATCCTGCAAACTGTTGTGTTTCTGAAACTGTGGAGTACTTGCTTTCTTAAGGCCATGTTGAAGGATCAAATACTAAGAAATGATTGCATGACTTGAGGAAGTCGTATCTGATTTACCCCCGGGTAACTTTGCTTGTGTCTGTCAGCATGAGCATTAGAAACAGTGTGTGCCCTATAGTGGCCTATCACTATCAAGCAGAAGGATAAACTGTCCAATGGCCACGATGAGTTCATCCTTACATTCTCCAATGATCCGCTTTTCCCTCTGAAACCTAATGGTTGTGGTCTTTAAAATGCTGCCAATGTTAAGCATGTATGCTACAAATCACTGTTGTCACTCGTAGCCAGTTGCATTTTAATGGCTAACAATTGATAATATTTTAACAGTTTCATGCGTCCATGCAGACCACCTGAAATTATGAAACTCACCAGTTTCACAAAGGGGATCCCATTTTTGTCACGCAGCTTCTTCAGTGCAGTTTTGTATTTTGCTCCACCTTTTTGCATAAAAACTGCAGCAGTTTGACCACAGAGCGATTAAATGTCTCTCAGTAAGGAACGTTGTATTCAGCTGATTTTATGCAATTTTCCAGTATGTGCAACTGCAGCAAGTTGCCAGAGTTTTAGCACGACGCTGTTGTACATACCCATGTTGACAGCAGCCCCGTCTGTGCACACAACGACCAACTTTGTTGTCCAGTCATCCAAGTCTGTGTCCTGGAAAAGTCTCACACCTAGCTGCTTCAATAAAGAAGGATATGAAGACATAGGATGTGTGTGTTAAACTTTGTGGAAGCGAGGAGAAAAATATTAAACAGGGCTTACCTCTGTTCGTCATTTCGCTTGTCTTGCCATCTGTTAAGGGGGCAACTGCACATATCTTCTCGGATGGCTTGTTTATTAGCAATGACTCGCACCACATTCATGTGCTCCTTGCCCTTTTCACATTTGTCAAATAAAGGATGGTTACAATTCTTTGGGCCTTTAAAAATGCACCTGATTTGTCTCTTAGATGTAGATGAGAGAGGCAAATCTTTCACCACATTTTAGTGCACAGTGGCAACTTTTCTGAAAAAGTATTTTCTTCAGCACTGGCTCTGGTTAGCATTTCTTAGCTGGTGGCGAAACACCAAAGAAGCTACTTATTGTCTGTTGTTTTTTGGACATTTAGGTGGTGACAAGCAAAATGTGTAAGGTTAAATGACATGGTCAAGTACGCCAAAGGCACTTGGTAACACAAGTGTCACTACGCTTTCTTAATTTTTGTCACACATGCGTACCAGTTATCTGCACCCCTGGTAATGAGTCAGACTCGTTTCTGGTAGATGTTGGACTAAACCAGGGCTGCCCTTTGTCACCGAGTCTGTTCAGAATTATTATGGATACAATTTAAAAGCATAGCCAGCTGGCTTAAGGCCTCCACTTTGGTCGCTTCAGAATCTCACTTTTTGCAGATAATGGGGTTCTGTTGGCTTAATCAGATGGTGGCCTCCAGCTGTCACTGGAGTGGGTCGCAACCAAATGTGAAATTGTGAGAATGAAAATTAGTACCTCCAAATCTGGGGGCCATGGTCCTCAGCCTGAGTGAGCACAAGTTATTGGCCCAAGTGGAAGAGTTCATACATATATCATGGTTTTGTTCATGAGGGAAGCGAGAGATTGACAGATTGGGAGACTAAAGAAATGCAGAACGTACAGTAAAACAGTCATTCTATGTCCCTCCCTCACCTATGGTCACGAGCTCTGGGTACTGACAAAAAAGATGAGATTGCGAATAAAAGCAAGCAGAAATAAGTTTTCTCCATAGGGTCACTGACCTCTCTCCTAGAGATAGGGTGAGGAGTTTTGCCATCCAGGAGGGGCTTAGTATAGAGTCGCTGCTACTCCTCCACATCAAAAGGAGCTGGGCATGACCCACCAGAATGAGGTCTTGGGGCAGACCCAGGATGCACTGGAGAGATGACATCTCACAGCTGGCTTGAGGATGCCTTAGTGTTCCCCTGGATAAGAAGAATTGCTGTCTGCATAGACAGTGATTAGGCATGTGATTTTCAATGATATATCACAGTTAATTGTCAACTTGACGCCATTCAATCACAGACTGATAGAAGACAGACTTTGTCTGGCAGCATTTATAACAGCTTTTAGTAACAGTGTTGGTAATCTTGGCAATCTCATTTTGCTGAAAGAAAATAATAATAATAATAATAATAATAATAATAATAGCTGTAGTGAGAGGAGTTTATTTGGAATAAAACGGATACTGAAAAGGTTTGAGAACATACATCGCAGTTGAAAAACTGTGTTAAACTGTAATACATGTTATTGCAATATCCAATATTCATGTTGCAAAAAGTAAATAAAAATAGCATTATGAAGCCTGTGGTCATTCTCACCTCTACTTAGCAGGATACAATTGTACCCACACATCCGCGTTCATTTAACAGAAAACACACAAGCATCTTTATATTTCATATACAGCATCACAGACATCCACGAAGCTGATCTTTGAAGGGTGTAAAACTAAAAAACAATTTGAATCAGTGCATTCACTTTAAGTTTCACTGCTCTATATTAGCCACATGTTCAGTATGTAGAGTTCTCCTAATGGTTCAGCTTATAATATATCTTCTCAAATTTTTGTTTTTCTACTATTTTTTTCTTTATTTGTCCATTCAGACCTCCAACAGCAGCATGTCTGTGATGAGGAGAAGGTTGTCAGAGGTCAGCAGGTCTGTAACCAGGAGAGGAACTCTAGTCTGGACCAAGACGACCCAGAGCCTCCACAGATTAAAAATGAACAGGAGGAACTCTGCGGCAGTCAGGAAGGACAGCAGCTTGGACTGAAGCAGGAGGCTGATGCCTTCATGGACACCCTTGTTTATCAGGAAAGTTACCACAGTGAACTGGAATCAAACAGTGAGCAGCTCCTTTCTCACAGCTGTCCTGAAGTAGAAAGCAAGCATGTAGTCTCAGGATCAGCTAGAAATATAGCACTAAAGAGGAGGAGACGTCTCAGACTTGCTGACACAAGGGAAAAGTCTCTAAAATGTGACACATGTGGAAAAGCATTTTACTTCCAATCCCACCTGAGTGCACATCTTAGAGTTCACACAGGTGAGAAACCATATTCTTGTAGCACCTGTGGGAAAAGATTCAGCCACAAATCAGCATTGGATAATCATATAAGACGTTACACAGGCGAGAAGCCATATCTTTGTATCACTTGCGGGAAAAGATTTGTTCAGAAGTCTCATTTGGAGCGTCATGTGAGAATTCATACAGGTGAAAAGCCGTATCCTTGTATCACCTGTGGGAAAAGATTTAATCAGAATTCAGAGCTGCAACGTCATGTAAGAATTCACACAGGTGAGAAGCCGTATTTTTGTAAAACTTGTGGGAAAAGATTTGCTGACTCATCAGGACTCATAAAACACATGAGATTTCACACAGGTGAGAAACCATTTTCTTGTGGGATCTGTGGAAAAAGTTTCAGTCAGAAATCAGCATTGGAAACTCATGTAAGAACTCACACAGGCGAGAAGCCGTATTCTTGTAGCACTTGTGGGAAAAAATTCAATCAGAAATCAGGAATGAAGTCTCATGCAAGAATTCACACAGGTGAGAAACCACATTGCTGTAGCAGGTGTGGGAAAACCTTTAGCCAGACGACACACTTAAAGAAGCACATGAGAATTCATACTGATTAAAAGTTTAAAGCTTAGAACATGTGGGACAGCTGTTAGTCATAATAGAGTGTTGGTTGTCGAGCTCACACTGAGCAGAAGTCAAACCACTGCAACACCTGAGTGAAAAGATGAATCATATTCAGGTCAGTATTATGTGGGTTCTATTCCAGGAAGCAGGTTTAACTAACAACTGCAAGTTTGCTAATCCTGACATGAGGGAGAGAAAGAGAGTTAACTTTAACTCAGTGTCACTCACCAGGTTAAGAAACTCTTTGAACCTAACAGATTTCAGCAGATTTTCTTAAACAAACTATGAATTTGTGTAAGAAACTCATAGTCACTCCTCCCATTTGCTGCACCTGAACCTGCCAACTGACACTCCAGTTAATTTCCTCTTTCATAATGTTGTTAACAACGCACATTAATCTGCTGGAAGTTTGTTCTTACAAATTGTCAGTTAGATGTTGCTTTGTAACAGCGATTATTGCAGATTTATTAAGAGCTGAGAATAAGAGCATATAGTAGCATATACTAATTTAGTTTCTGTATTTCCAACTCTGACTTAGCAGAGCCAACTTTGAGTACATTATTGTATTTTTGTAGTACGTCATTGTCCTCTTTAAAGTTTTAGACCCATAGAGCACAGGATTAGCTATACTTTAAAGTCAGGTTTGAAATGCACACAGTAGACTGTCTGTGTTTTGAACATTTCATTCTGAAATTTCACAGACTCACAGGACTCAGTCATATAATAATCTCAAACAATGTTTTGAAAGGTAAATTAAGGTAATTTTAAAGGTAAGGTAAATTTAAAGGTAAGGTAGATTTAAAGTCTGTGACTTTAAATGAAACACATTTTTCATTCACACTAACCCAAATCCATCTCACTGGGGTATCATATAGCCCTTTTTCACTAGTACCCACTCTGCTCGACTCGACTTGGTTTCAGTGTTTTTTCCATTACGCTGGAGTACCACCTACTCTGGGTGGGGTCGTTATAGCAATGTGGCCTAAATTCCCGTGACGGCGTTTGTAAATGACACAACAAAATGAGGATGTTAAGATGTTGGTATACCTGCTACCTGGTCACCACAAAAATGACACTAAAAACGAGCGTATAACGTTTGCCTCTACTGTTTTCTTTTATGGAAATCTCAATAGAAAAAAAGAGGTTGCTACAGCCCATCAATGCATGAAATACTGGCTTGAAATGTTTCATTTCATTAAAAAATGAAATTGTCAAATTGTGGCAAAAACATTTTTTGTAATTTAATAAAATGACTTGACTCTGTGTGCTGCTATCTGATGCTACGTCCATCAGTAAACTGTGTCTGATCTGTTTATCTCGATTTTTATCTTCAGTTTCTGTCATTTTGCTGCTATCGGGTTACCCCTGAATAGATTTCAAATTCAACTTCAGATCATTTTAATGTAATATATGTTAATTCATGGGTAAATAATGACCATGGGAAGTATAAAAAGTTGTAGCTATACATTACATGAAGTTTTATAATATCCGATGATGATGATGACAGAATAGACCAAGAAAATGAATTTCTCCTCTCCTGTTATTTTAAAATAACTATTTTCAGCGCTGACACATGTTGGTATTTTTCAAACTACTCCATCAAAATGGAGGTTCAGCTCTTAATTTACTCATGGTGATTTATGGTATCTGAGCTCCATACCTTTCTTTCTCTTCTCACACACACTCTTAACTCAGAGTTGATTGAACTTTGATCAACTGTTCGGGAACAGGAAACTCAGGCTTACAGAGTTAATCATCTCAGAGTTTGTTTTTTAAACTCAGAGTTTATTGGACATGCTTCCTGGAACAGGGCATTGACCAGGGAAGAACTCTCAGCATTAATTCTTACAACTGTATCAGAGAAACCCTGATCTTACATTTCATGATGGTTGAAGTTAATTTTCTGTCTTAATTCAAATGTTTTTCCTTGTTTCTTTAATGTTGTTTTATATAAATCTAGAAACTTGTGTTTTAACTTTGTACCCCAGTCCAGTGGTTCCCAAACTTTTTTTTTGCTAGGCCCCCCTTTGTTTTACAAGAAAAATGCCGCCCCCCGCGCGCGCACACACGCACACACACTAACACATCCTCCAACCACGCACACCCATATTCTGCTCCATTGCGGTTTATTTCACACCTCAAACATTTAGCAAACAATTGAGCAAATACAAGTAATCTGCAAAAAATTACAGGTAGTAAGAAAACAAACTACTAACTCTTTTACGCTACGTTCGCACCTACTTTTGAAAACACAGCTGTTTCATCCACGCGTAAACGGCGTTTCGAATCACCGAAAACTGAGATTTTTAAAACTCCTCTTTTGCGTTTATGTGTGGACGAGGAATACAGAGTTCATCACACAACGTCAAAGGTATGTGCCTTTTGTCACATCACGCTGTGCGCCACGTTATTGTTTACATGAGATGAATTGCAGATAGTCAGATTAATTAACTAATTTTGTCTGTGTCTTCAGGTTTTACACACTTACATACACACACGCAGTTACTGTCCCTCTATTTACAAAGGTAGAGGCATCACAGTGTAATTATTTTACCCTCAACATTGCTATCAATACATTTTTCGAAAATGCCTCTCTGTGCAAAATGGGTTTAAAAACATAAACAGCTGTGGGATACTGTTTGTCCGTGATTTAGACAGGGGGAACAAATTGTGGCAGGATCAGCCTGATGTTATTTGTATCCCGCTGTAACTTTACTGTATAAAGAGCTAACATCTCCAAAATGTCAGGAGTAGTTAGTCATTACGACAAGTGTTTGTGAACTAAAAATCAAGAATGTGGGATACTGTTTGTCCGTGATTTGAAGAGCCCAGTGTGTGCTCCCGACGCAGGGAAAAGCAGTTATGCAGGGGAGACCTACCTTGGCACTTGTGCAGGTGAAGCCAAAGGGAAGATATGCTTCACCATATTTTCTAGTCTTTGGCTTAGAATGAAGTTGGTTTGGAAACATATTCAGCTATGCTTCATCTCCTGCTTTGCGTTTGTGTAGGCGCCCCATGATAGCAGTGTCCAAGTATTGTTGTCGTTGTGTTTTTTCCTTTTCATACCACGCCCCCTCCTGCAATGGCTCTCTGCCCTCCCTAGGGGGTGGGCCCCACACTTTGGGAAGGTCTGCCCTAGTCTATATTATGGTTCCCTTTTACTTTCCTCTTATTCTTTTTTTTTGTATGGAAATAAAAAAAATATTGCCTTGTGTAATACGATTCTGTGATTCATTGACCGGAATATGATCTTCTAGTAGAAAGACTTGACCCTCTATTTAGGAACCTGCTGAAAATGTACAGGTGCACTCTCAAAGTACATTTACAATTGTGCAATAATAACAGAGCAGAATTTATTTATTTTTTATTATGTGTCACCACACATAAGTGTAGTTATATCACAATAATGTTTGTATTATCATCTTTGCAGTTTGTTGAAGCATTGAAGCTCCTTTCCTCAGTATTTAGAGAATTCTAACTCGAGCTCTTATTATGGCTGCTGTGTAGATACCTCAGGGTCAGCTCTTCATCAGCAAAACACAAAACGAACTATTACAACATAACCTCAGGGTTGCATGGATCAGCTCCACAGTATATCACAGTTGTATTAACTCAATATTTCTGTCTCTGAGGTCATAGTCCAACAACTTCTCTCAGACCTCCTTTACCTGGAAACAAAAGGTGAGCAGACTTTCTTTGGTGTTGCTGCAGGGTACTCACTAACGCATGTACTGCGCTTGGTTTGACCATACATACAACTATCTAGTCCTGTCTTAAGTAACCAGCCTGATTAGCCAATGAGCCATAGGTAAATATGATCTAATGGGTGAGGAACCTGGAGGAATGCGGAGAAAGCACCTGAAGGAAATTAAACAAAATATCCCCAAGCATACACATACAAATACTGACAGAAAAACAAGAAAGACAGAAAAGCAATGGAGAGAGGGAGAGAAAAGGCAGGCCAGCCTGAGAGGCCTCAGGAACCATGACAGTTATGTTATTTTCATATTTTGAATGTCAAATAGTAATGTTCCCCTCAAAATAACTTTGGTTCAACTCGAGTTTCTAAATTTGTTAAATCACCCAAATCATCTGGTGCATTAATGTCCTGTGGGATTTCAGAATTGCAACACATAACTTCAAATAATATAACGTTAAAATATGCCTTTTAGGCTAAATTACATTCTAAATTCAAGATTTTACCCTAAAATTACTTAACCCTTTAAAGCCGGTCAGAGCGGACACGCTCCGTTTTGTGTAACTATTTTTAAATCCCAGTAGCACTGCAACCACGTAAGCTAGCGCAATAATTTTCTTTGCATGTGAAACTGGAGGAGTTGTACTTACATCATGCCATCAGCTTGTCCTAGGTCACAGTTTCCTTCCACATATGGCTTTGCAAAAGCTGCATAAAAAGCGCTTGCAGCAACAAAAACATAATATTCGAGAAACACGCTTTACCGATCCGATCAGCTGTTCATAACACTTCCTACGTCCATCAGCGTGAACTGTCGCATGCCCACCATGACCTGCCCGAAACCAGAAGTGACGTCATTTTCGCGGAAATGTAGTTTTTTACCATCAAGGCCTCATGAGCTTATACTGGTGTTTTTAAAAGTTATGTTTGACTTTATGACTTTCTGTGTCGTTTCTGGGATGCTTAGGACTCATATTGCACTGCTGGAAATAGTTTATTTTGATGCATATGCTGCTTTTTTGCAAATTTGCCCTATAATATTTATTTTCGTTTTTCCTGCAGTGTATAGAAATTGGTGTATTTCAAAAATAAAACTATGAAGACACTCAAAATAAATTTCCCGTGGTGGGAAACTATTTTGTGCAACTTTTTTGTATTTACAGTTTTGAGGGATAAGCCTCTTAAATTTCTCTAACTAGAAATATATGTTAAAAAAAACAAAAACAATTTTCAATTTTTTTGTAGTTTATTGATCTTTTTTGCAATTTATGTAATTACTATGCACTTAATGCATGCATATTATTAAAACATGGGCTATAATGGTTGTATTGATGTATAGCAACTTGAAATGCTCCCAAAAATGGCACTACAGCATGTAAAAATATAATATAAGCTCTGGTGGACTTGGTTCTATGGTAGGTCTTAAAGGGTTAATTACTTAATTCAGTAATTAATTATTTAAAGCTTACAAGTTGAGGTGAGCAGTAAATAAAAAGTGTTTAAACACACAATAACAATTACAAACCACTTCCTGGAGTGAAATACAATCCTCCCTGTTCTTCATCTTCTTTTTCTTAAACAAGGGAAGTCCCCTTTGTTCAGATGTTTCCTCATTCCCTTCACTTCTGATCTGACCTTTGAACATTTGTGTAACCACGTTTCAGAGCTGACAGGCTCCATTCACTGCAAAAAAAACACATGTTGTTGAGGTCAGAGCTCAGACTAATTTCAGTTATAAGGAAGAGAAACTCACACAGTCACTGACACTGAGAGGAGAAATGGCGCAGAAAGGAGTTCAACTGGACGGAGAAACGAGGAAGACTTTCACACAGAGGCCTGTCCTGGTGAAAAACATCATGCAGCTGAAGAAGACTGGACTCCAAGCTGCTCCAGCTGATCTCTGCTATGCTGGACCTGAAGATGTGGCCTGTGATGTCTGCACTGGGAGGAAGCTGAAAGCCATCAAGTCCTGTTTATCTTGTCCAGCCTCTTACTGTGAGAAACACCTCCAACCTCACTATGATGCAGCTCCGTTAAAGAAACACAAGCTGGTGGCCCCCTCCAAGAAGCTCCAGGAGAACATCTGCTCTCGTCATGATGAGGTGATGAAGATTTTCTGTCGTACTGATCAGCAGAGTATCTCTTATCTCTGCACGATGGATGAACATAAAGGCCATGAAACAGTCCCAGCTGCAGCAGAAAGGACTGAGAAGCAGAAGGAGCTCGAGGTGAGACGACTAAACATCCAGCAGAGAATCCAGGAGCGAGAGAAAGATGTGAAGCTGCTTCAACAGGAGGTGGAGGCCATCAATGGCTCTGCTGATAAAGCAGTGGAGGACAGTGAGAAGATGTTCACTGAGCTGATCTGTCTCCTCCAGAAAAGAAGCTCTGATGTGAAGCAGCAGGTCAGATCCCAGCAGGAAACTGAAGTGAGTCGAGTCAAAGAGCTTCAGGAGAAGCTGGAGCAGGAGATCGCTGAGCTGAAGAGGAAAGACGGCGAGCTGGAGCAGCTCTCACACACAGAGGATCACAACCAGTTTCTACACAACTACCCCTCACTGTCAGCACTCAGTGAGTCTACACACTCATTCAGCATCAATATTCGTCCTCTGAGCTACTTTGAGGATGTGACAGCAGCTGTGTCAGAGACCAGAGATAAACTACAGGACATTCTGAGAGAGGAATGGACAAACATCTCACTGACAGTCACTGAAGAGGATGTTTTACTGTCACCAGCAGAGCCAAAGACCAGAGCTGAATTCTTAAAATGTTCATGTGAAATCACACTGGATCCAAACACAGCACACAAAGAGCTGTTATTATCTAAAGGGGACAGAAAAGCAACACAGTTGAAACAACAACAGTCTTATTCTGATCATCCAGACAGATTCACCTTTTATGATCAAGTCCTGAGTAGAGAGAGTCTGACTGGACGTTGTTACTGGGAGGTGGAGTGGAGAGGGAGAGGGATAGAAGTAGCAGTCTCATACAAGAATATCAGAAGAGTAGGAAAGTCAGCTGATCGTATATTTGGATACAATAACAAATCTTGGGCATTACTTTGTGAAAACAACAGTTATTCATTTTTTCACAAGAAAGTACGAACTGTCCTCTCAGGTCCTCGGTCCTCCAGAGTAGGAGTGTACCTGGATCACAGAGCAGGTATTCTGTCTTTCTACAGCGTCTCTGAAACCATGACTCTCCTCCACAGAGTCCAGACCACATTCACTCAGCCGCTCTATGCTGGACTTTGGCTTTATTTTTCAGCTGGAGCTACTGCAGAGTTGATTAAAGTCAAATAGAGAAGACAGGTTCATGTTGATCCCTGACCATTATATGTACTTGTGTAGTTTCTAAATGAGGCTTTACATTTTAGAAGCTGAGAAGTTCAGTGGTCCATTGATGTGTGAAAATAATATTGCACTGATTCAAACTGTACTTACATTTATATACCTTACATCAATATAAATCTGAATTTGTTCTTATGGCTGATAATCATGTGAGTTTAAATGATACTACTCTTCATATTCAGCATGTTTGAAATCTGTCATCAGTCTGGTTAGTGCTTTTATTCTGTAGTTGCTGTAGTGGGTTGTCAAATGCAACAATATATTGGAGCTGCAGTGATTCATCAGTTAGTTGTCATGGTCTGCGTGCAGGCGAGCAGGAAACAGACCCAATATGCAGGCTCGTGGAGGCGTAAACTTAAATTCAAAGAACCTCAGCTTTATTGCTGGCACTGAACTGAACCCATACTAACACTAGAAATCACAAACCACACAGAAATCATAAAATAACAATAACAATACACAAAACACTGGGTCATCGACCCAGGACTGTGACATTAGTCAATAATTGGAGAACTGATTCTTTTATAATTACTTCACACTGAAATGTTTTGTTGTGTTTTTTTCTTTTCTTTCATTTTATACTTAACATTTTTTAACATTAAGAGTCTTATACCCCACAGGATTTAAAGCTGTGAAGTGACAAACACACAAAAATGTATATCCAAAAAAGAATTATGTTGATTTTCAAAACAGTTTAAGTTTAATATGCTCCTGTTTTGTCATGTCACTTTAAATAAAGAGGGATACATATTTTGATGAATAGGAGAGATCATGTCTGGGGCTTGTAAAGAGGTGTGAGCCAGTTATTTGTGTTATCAGTTGTGTAAGCGGTAAAGGTTGTTGAACTGATATGGCTTCACAGTAACAAGCACACGTTGCCTTGATCAGGTCAAGGTTTAACTGTGGGTTTGTTTTATCTAGGACCAGTTAAGACCATCTCAGTTTATGCTCTTCAAGTGGAGGTAAGAGAAATTACGCCTTGAATTCAGAGGAGGCAGCTCTCCGCAAATTATTGGATTAGATTAAAGTGGAATGATGAAAGCCACTGACATAGAAAGTCTTGGAGGCTTGAAGAACTCAGCACAGCAAAAAAAAAAAAAAAAAAAAAAAGGATTGTTGCCCCTGTGTGCAAATCGAGTTTGGAAGTTTCAAAACACATGTGTTCAGATGGAGCTTCTGAAGCGCAGATGTTTCCAAACACTGCTCCAAAGCGTGGTTCAAAATGCCCAGGTCATGTGACCATAACTAAACGAGGTTTAGGTGCAATTCACCACAGTTTCAGCAGCTGGCGTACCTGGTACTGGGCAGTGTGAGACTCAGACAGTTACACTTTCTTTTAAACAGAGTGATTTGACCTGGGACTTGTAACTAGTGAATTGATGTTTTTAAAACTACCGCTTCTATGTATTACTCATGCAAGTGTAAAAGAAAGCAATATCCTCTCTCTCCTTATTATTGTTGCTGTGGATTGTGAAGACCAATATAGATGATCCAATCACATAAACACCAGAATCCAAAATGTAATCAAATAAATATTATATAGATATATAAACAATATGTAGACGTCTTATTAGAATAATTATGGCCACACAGATAAGAGAAAGTGAGATAAACAGAGACTAGTGGGTGAACTCCATTCACTCATATTAGCAGAGAGAGAGAGAAATACTGTGCTATTAACTCATTTAAGTATCTCAATAAAAACTGTCTGTGCTTTCAGGGAGAAAAAAATGGGTCAGCATCTGACTCTGTCTGCGCTCTACATTTTTTCTACCTTCTAATCTGTTAGTCACATACTCTGCCACTATAAAGATTAGTTATTCTATAGAAAAATGATGTTATAAACACGTTAGAAAAACACATCCATTAAATGCAGGTGACCTATTTCATTAAATGTTTCATGGCAAAATCCACAGCAGTATACAGTTTTGGAAGGTTTTTTCATGCTTCAGACGTTGCTCAGCAGAGAATGATTTAAATGGCATATCCTTGTAGCACCTGTGAGGAGAGCGTCAGTGAGATGTCACAATTGAAAATTAATGTACAAATTCCCACAGGTGTAATCTCTTAAATATGGAAGCAGCATATCAGAGTGCTTTCAAATGCCTTTTTTCCCACACAAGTTTTTATTTTTCTGTCATTTCTGATGTTTTATAGAAGTGTAAAAATTGATGTTTTGACTGTTTGGATAAACTTGCCTCAGTCTGTATTATATTATATTTTATTTTTTACATCACTATCATGAGACGTTGGTTGTTTGAAAGAAGTTGGACTTATTTTTTAATGACTGATGAAAATTTGGTGGTGGGAGAAGTTTTGAAATGGAGCACACCAATAAAAAATGTTTGATAACAAATGGTCTAAATCAGGGGTCTTAAACTTAAATGAGCTGTAGGTCACTGCTGGCGTTGTCATCTCACTGGAGGGCCACTTTAGTTTAAGTAGTACAAAAAACAAACAAACAAACAGCAAGAAAACACCCACAAATATTTCCAAAAATGTAGCGTTTTGTTTGTTAAATGTTGTATAACAAGACAAAACTGCAAAAGTGAATGTTATTTTTTCTCTCACTCTTAACTGAAACTTTTCATTGAACTACCAAATAAACACATTGGTACTCTCTTTCTGGACAGACACATGGCAGCACTTGTGCTATAATTTTGTTCATTTTTAACAAAATAAAAATGCAGACATAAGTGCACACATTAGTTTTTGACTGCGAGTACAAATAACTGTCTCACTGAAATAACACAGCCAAATCCCTCTCTCTGCTCATATTGCCTTAATATTAAATAATTTTTGGATCTATAAGATCTATAAAAACTTATTTTGACATTGTACTCAACAACAAACAAATACTCCCTAACAAAAAAAGTAACTTTAAGGGCCAAATTGCAATATATTTCCTCACATCAATATACAGGCTGCAAGTAGGGGTGACATGGGCCACAAGTGGCCCCCGGGCCGCGAATTTGAGACCCCTGGTCTAAATGTACAGGTGTGATAAAAAGCTTACATCCACCCATCATCATGGGCATAAATGACATTGTAGTTTACAGGATATCTGTACAGGTTTTTAAAATCTAAGAATATTCTAACTGTATCCTTTTTCTGATCTATTGCGTTTCTAAATCCTTCGATCGATGTAATTAATGCCAATCATGCCGAACTGTTTGATCTGAAACTACTGACTCTAAGAGAGTAATTTATGTCTGTGTCATCAATTATTGAACAAATTTTTGAGATTTCTGGAGAACTCTGGAAATTGAGAAACAGGCCTATAATTTGTGAAGTGGTGGCTATCCTCAGTTTTATGCAGCAGCAGAACTTTAACTATTTTCATTTAGTTTGGAAGTACCGTTCTGAATAATCCCGAAATGTATGTTAGTGGTTCTGAAATCCCTTCACTGATCTTCTTGACAGTTTTCATAACAGTAGATGATTTGTATCTACACTTATTTACAGTATCAATGCTTTCGTTTTCCTTCACTCTTGTAAAGAACATTGAGTTAGGATTTCTTCTACCACTCGGGTGCACTAACCTTCTAATTTACATCTGCTAATCAGAATGTTGGTAGTTTGATCCTTCGCTTCTCCAGTCTGCATACAAAAGATTCTTGATACAAGTTATGAATGTTTGATAGAAATCAATAAAGCAGAGGGAAAAAAGCTTGTGTGAATGAGGCATGTGTCATGGTCCGGGTGAGTGCGGGGTTTTTCCACTCTGCTGGGCTCCACCTTCAGGCAGAGACTCCAATCAGCTTTCACACCTGATTCCAATCAAGTCACCAGTATAGAGCTTTGAAGTTGGCGTCATGTCGCAATGCATTGTGGGAGCGTGGCACCATTTTCGGGGTCTACGAATCAAAACAAACACACTGTGTTGGAACGACTCAAAAGAGAATGGACTGTATAGAGATCTAGAGTTCTATTGTTGATCAACAAAGCACAAGAATCAGAATACAATACAAAATACAAAATCAAACCAAAACAAGAGAACTCAAATTACTGGGTCAAACTGACCCAGAACCGTGACAATCACACCCCATTCACACAAGCACTTTTTAAAAACTGTTTAGTGCTTACTGTCTAACATTCATACGCATTCACACTCTGAATGCTTTGGAGAGCAACATGGGGTTAGCATCAAAACAGGAAACAGGATATATGATCCAGCAGAAATGTTGGGCTTTACAAAGGTGACAGGCTAAAGTTTTATGATATAAGCATGCAAAAACAGTACAGAAACAGGAGGAGGACATCTCTATTTACTGTCTGGTCTAATTATTAGTGGTTTACAAAGGATGAGAACTTGTTTAACCATAAACCTCAGCATGGTTCAGTCTGTTAGTGATGGTAAATTCGATTCTTTTTACTGAATCGAGTTTGAATGAGTCACTCACCAAATTGAATCGGGTTTGAGTCATTTCAGTCACAGAACCAGTTGTCCAGAGAGTGCAAAAAATGTACATTTTCACTCAAACTTAATTTGTTTCTCTTTCATGTATATCCTACTGCTAAGATGAGTGATTTAAAAAAACCCAACTATTTTTATAGAGCAAAAAGATTAAGACTTCTAAAGGGAACATTTATTTGATTTATTTTCATTTTATTTTAGGCAAGGCAAGTTAGGCAAGTTTATTTGTATAGCACAATTCAACAACAATTTGATTCAAAGTGCTTTACAGAGACATTAGAAACAAAAACAAATAAAAAGCATGATTTAAAACTGATTAGAACAAGCAAACAAACAAACAAACTAATTAACAAACAAACAAACAAACAAACAAACAAACAAACAAAACAGTATATAAAATCAAAACAGATAAAATCAGTAGTTAAAATGTTAGTTTTGAAATTTAAGCTTAAAAGTGTGGATTTGGTGCTTTATTCAAATGCAGCTGAGAACAGGTGAGTCTTCAACCTGGATTTAAATAAACGGAGTGTTTCAGCTGATCTGAGGCTTTCTGGGAGTTTGTTCCAGATATAAGGAGCATAAAAGCTGAATGCAGCTTCTCCGTGTCTGGCTCTGACTCTGGGAACTGATAAAAGACCGGATCCAGATGACCTGAGGGATCTGGAAGGTTCATACTGGGTCAGGAGGTCATTGATGTATTTTGGTCCTAAACCATTCAGAGCTTTATAGGCCAGCATCAGAACTTTAAAGTCTATCCTCTGACGGACAGGCAGCCAGTGTAAAGACCTCAGACCTGGACTGATGTGGTCCACTTTTTTGGTCTTAGTGAGGACTCGAGCAGCAGAGTTCTGAATGAGCTGTAGTTGT